GCCCCGCATCGGGCTCCCTGCTCCACGGGAAGCCTGCTTCTCCCTCTCCCACTCCCCCTGCTTGTGTTCCCTCTCTCGCTGTGTCTCTGTCAAATAAATAAATAAATCTTAAAAAAAAAAAGAAATGCTAGCTTAAATAATCAAAGAGTTATCCTATAATTGACAATAAAACTTAGAATTAAGTGGGGGTTTTTTGCTAATTTTTGTTGGATTAATAAAGCATATATAAAGACATATATAAATATATATGAAATATAATATTATATAACATTATATTCACTTTACTAGCTATCAGTGGCATCTCATCATTTCCTATGCTAAATGCTATTTTTTTAAAATAAAAATGAAAGAAAAACAGAGTCCATACCAACATTCAGATGTCAGCTAGTGAAATATTATGCTTTAAAAGGTACAGATTATAGATAATTTTATATTCATCTGCAATATCCATGGATAGAAACAATTTTGTTTGTAGTATTGTCAACCTCCTCTCCAAAATTTATCAACTGAAAAAAGAAGTTTCTGAAATGGCTCCAGACACATTTATGTTCAAAACAGGAAGTGGGAAAATACAGAACTAAACACATCTGTCCCATTCTATAAGGAAAGTAAAAGCTTTCCCAGAAACTCCCAGAAAACATGCCTGTTTCTCCCTGGCCAGAGGTATGCTGAACAGCCAACTCGAGTACAAGGAAAGCTGGAAGGAATCATCCTGTTTTAAGGAAGGAAGAGGGGAGAACAGACACAGGTTTTCCCGCTGTACAGGAGTAGAGCGCTCCTATGAAAACTACTGCAAGCGAAATGGCATACAGCAAAGTCTCCCCCATTTTCTGTAAGTTCGCGTGGGGCCACTTCGCCCGTAAAAGGACTGCATTCGTTCCTGGGTTTGCTCACCAGAAGAAATCCAGAGGGGATTTTCATTTTTATGCAAAGGAGCCGTTCCTGTACTAACGGAGGTGTTTTGTTAGAGCAAGTGAGTACAGTGAAGTGGGTTAGAGAGAAACTTTCTGAAGCAGGGACACCTGTGTCCAGCTGGCAGCTGAAAATGTCTGCAACAGTGCCATTTCCCCCTTTTCCCAGAAATCACACAGAAACAAGAAAAATGAGAAACACGTACGCAAACATAATATTCTGTAAGACTAGGGAGATTCCTATAATCCTGAATCGTATGAAAAACTATCAAATGTGAACATTACCCAGAACTGACCAAACACCAAGTCCTATCAATGGCTACATTTCTTAACAAAGCTAAAAGAGGGAAATTCTAAAGTAACAGGCACATCTTAAGGGAAAAACCAATATTGTTTTTTTGAAACAAAGGGAGAAGATGTACTGGCTAGAAGTAAGAGACTGCTTATATAGGCATCTACGTTAGAATACGTGAACTCATGAAAAAACATGCTTTCTGCAAAACTGCACAAAAAAATAACAAGGTTTATGGAGAAAATAAAGTTACAGGGGGGGCGCCTGGGTGGCTCAGTCGTTAAGCGTCTGCCTTCGGCTCAGGTCATGGTCCCAGCGTCCTGGGATCGAGCCCCGCATCGAGCTCCCTGCTCTGCAGGAAGCCTGCTTCTCCCTCTCCCGCTCCCCCTGCTTGTGTTCCCTCTCTCGCGGTGTCTCTCTCTGTCAAATAAATAAATAAAATCTTTAAAAAAAAAAAAAGTTACAGGATAGACTACTGAACATCTACACTACTTTGTCACTAGAGCGCTGATAAAACTATAGCAATTCTACTAAAAATAAAAACATAGTCAAAAAGACATATTATAAAGAATGATCACATTTCATATAGGACTTGACCTTACAAAGGTGAAACTATTGTGTTAGAAAGAGGTACGAGGAAAGGATGGAGCAAGGGTAGAGATGCTGCTTTCAGAAGTCCACGTGGAGAAGCATTTGCACATTTTCCAAGAAATGCAGTGATTTTAGAAGAAATATAGTAATGGTTCTGGCTCATCATCTTGTTTTTACTTCTTTGACATTGACTTATAAAAAGATACCCAGTTTTTGCTGCTTAAACATTTTCCTTCGTTCATAAAGCAGCAGCTTCTATGGTTCCGAATAGGACCTTACGCAGAAATGCGATCCCGCTGCCTTCTGCATTACCTTTGGCCCATTGCCACGCCCTCTCCAATGCACCTAAAGCATAAAGTGAGGGAGAAATGAACAGCTCTTTCGGGGCAGCTTCTTCCACACCTTCCACTTGTGCCTGAGCAACTAACTGTTGCAGCTCTTATGTGGAGAGATCTTCTGCACAGGATTGCAGCAGCTTCCCAATACCCTCACTCCCAACTTCCCAGATTCAGCCTCCTCTGCCAGAGCAACACAGCTTGCTTTGCTTTGGGAGCGCTCTTGTGAAGGCTCAAGGCCTTCGGAATCATGAATTAAATCAGGGAGAATTTTATGCTATACTCCAAGCAAGCAGGCTTCCGTGACCATCATTCCAAACCTCTTCAATAGTATCAATGGCAGGTTTAACGTTGAACTCATTCCAGAATGCAAAAATTGTGTGTGCATTTCACCCCCTGTAGGTGCAATAAACATCTCCAATGTCCTCCTTAAGTAATAAGCTTTAAAGGCTGAGATCACACCCTGATCAAGGGGCTAGACTAAAGAAGTTGTATTAGGAGGGGAAAAGAGAACTTTAATATTTGAAGAAAGCTCAGCAACTACTGGAGAATGGCTTGGATGGCTTATAATTCTTAAGAATTAAAAGGATTTTGAAAGAATTTTTTTCCTCTTACAGTTACTTTCCTAAATCATCTACAAAAACATCACCTAAAAGATCAGTAAGTATCTGCCCTGTTACGCAGCCTCTCTTGCTAGAACTACAGTAGGCTAGTCTGGGCAGCTCCTCTCAGAGCTTGTGGGTGGGCGATGGGATGCGTCACAACAGGCTTTAGCTGTACATCCTCACTGGCATCTGCAGGCAGCATCACACCAGATGACCTTCAGCCTTCAGCCCTCGAGTGTGTGCTTCCTCCTTCGAGAGACAGACTCTTGAGGGAATCTGCTTCCAACAGAGACTGGTTTCATCAAAATTAAAAATCTGATCCCACGTACAGCCTTCTTCATCAGTCAAATTTCCTAACACTGGAGGAACCGTCTACACTTCTCTCATCTGCACGCACAGCTTCACCAGAGAGCTGAACATTGCGGAAGGCATGGTGGTGCTTGAAGTCACGGAACAGACACTACCGCTAAATGAAGGCACATGTGCAGGATCTCCAGCTTTTTTCTTAAGGTCTTCATGTCCTGCTAAGACCTTCTCTTTATTCTGAGAAAGGCTGCCTCCGATTGCTTCTGTGCTTGGTATTCAATCCACACACTTGACAGATGTGCCATTTCTTCCATTTCCTCACACCTTGTTCTCACGAACCCTGTAGCACTGGTTCCAGCAAGGTAACTTTCTTTCATTTTCCCAGCAGTCTCTGACTCCTTTATTTTTTTTTTTAAAGATTTTTATTTATTTGACAGAGAGAGACACAGCAAGAGAGGGAACACAAGCAGGGGGAGTAGGAGAGGGAGAAGCAGGCTCCCCGCAGAGCAGGGAGCCGGACATGGGGCTCGATCCCAGGACCCTGGGATCATGACCCGAGCCGAAGGCAGACGCTCAACGACTGAGCCACCCAGGCGCCCCATTCTCTGACTCCTTTATGCCAGGTGCACAATCAGTGTCCCAGGTTCTTCCATTTTTTTCAAAGCGTTTTGATTTCGAGCTTTTCTTTGATGGTTAAAGCTTTTCTTCTTTTATGCTTACTAGCAGAAATTTTATCACCAGCACGTTCCTGTGGCACTTGTAAACCCCTGTGCTTGCTCATTTTCTGGAATACAAGAAAGTTTAACAAAAAATGCACAAAGATGGGAGGGAACCATACAAATAAGCATTTCCAAAACAGAGAGTGTGGCCAAGAGAGCCCAGAGGAAGGGGGTGGAGGTGAGTGGGCCTTTGGCACAGTACTGTAAGTCTTCACAACGTGCTGCATTCCACTATCATCAGATACTTCGCATTCAGCTGCTCTTACCTGGTGGCCCAAAACATGTACTTGCTGGTAAAATTCATGTATGAGTCAGCACAACTTCAGCATTATATGGACTCAAGTCCCTATTTATCAGTCTCATATGAAAGACATGCATTTCAGAAAAATGTGTTTTAACAAATCAAACTGTATACATAAAATGTTCCTATTTAAAGGGTTCAGATAGATGTATGGATAGTATCATTACAGAAAAGTAAGAGTGTTTGGCAATATCCATCACAGTCTAAAATTACTGTCCTAGGAGACAAGTATACTCCCTTAAAAATAATCTCTAGTGTGATGGTGAAAGACCAAATACTGAGCTCGATACACTTCCCACACCAACAACCCCAAGTAATGGAAAGTATCTAGAAAATGATGCAATCAATCTCTTTGTTGTACAGATGAAGACATTAAAGCCCAGGGAAGGTGTGATATGTCCAAGGTTACACAGCTCATTGGTGACAGGGCCTATCATGGAATCCAAATCTCATCATTCACCGTTTCCGGTATTTCTACTACATTTGGCTACTTCTCTATTTGTCTCTCCTAGAAGGTATTCTTTATACTCTCATACCGGTTTGTTTTCATATATGCTTACCGTAGTGGGTGCCCTAAGAAGAGACAGCTACTTTAATCTCACAGTCACTAAATAAGACGTATTTCCTACTGGTAAGCAATAGATCAAGGTTTCCCATTTGGTTACATCATCTACTTATTTGGATCAGCTGTCACTTACATCAACAGTCGTCCCACAGGCATGAATGTGTTCAAACGATAACGCAGCCACCCGTGGGAAGCTGATGGCACGTACTCCACCTTCGACGCACGCACTCCAATTCTCCAGGGAAGCTGGCACCTGCCATTTCTCACCTGCTGTCGAGGCTCATCCAGCTCCCTCTCCAGATCCTCCAGCACAGTCACCGCCTCCTCCCCGCTCTCCGGGTGCCGCTCCCGCACCCAGGCCTGCAGCTCCTCGGGCAGGATGGTCAGGAACTGCTCCAGCACCAGCAGCTCCACGATCTGCTCCTTGCTGTGCGTCTCGGGCCGCAGCCACTGACGGCAGAGCTCCCGGAGCCGGCTCAGCGCCTCGCGGGGCCCAGGAGTTTCCTGGTAGCAGAACTGCCGGAAGCGCCGGCGACAGAGCTCCCGGGTGTGAGACACGTTCTTCTTTAGGCAGGACTCCTGATCCCAAACGTGGTCTTCTTCTTCAACCTTCACTCTGATAATCTCCGCCTGGTCCCCCGCAGCCTGGCCAGCCGGGGCCGGGAGGACGCCGGCGGCCGCGGCCATCCTGAGCCCCGACAGCTCCCGCCCGGGTCTGGGCAGGTGCGCGCTCGGCCTGGCGCGCCGCCCCCCACGCTGGGCGGGAAGTTCTCGTGAACACGGGAGGACGGCGGCCGCGGCGCAGGACCTGTGTCCGAGACAACACGGGGCACTCCTGGGGCGAGTCCCTGGGACGGGAAGCCAGGCTCCGCGCGGACCGGCACGGCGGGCACAGG